GCCTTTTATCTGCACATTGTAATTGGGGTAATGAGGGAATATCACACACCTGGCCATGGAACAGCTGAGAAGCCAATTGTCCCATTACTTTTGGTCCCTTAACAAGTGGGAGGCACATATACAAACTGCTGTAAGTCCTACACCATTCACCTCAGTTGGATGTACATACCCTCAAATTAAAGCTGGCAGTCTGCAGTTAACGCACATTGTGTTTGTTTCATTCCAACTCCATTGTGGTGGTGTATAGAGCCAAAGAATGTTAGAATTGTGTCGATGTCCCAATATTTCTGGACCTGACTGTATGTAACCACCAAAAGAGCAGCCAAGAGAATGGTTGCTGAAGTCAGGGCAGAACACTGCCAAGACCTATATGACCGCCTGGAGATGAGGGAAGGGGAGAAAGACATTTACCGATTGGCCAAAGCATGGAAGAAGGCTGCACAAGACATTGAGAGGTGCATGAAGAGGTTCATATGCATGAAGGACAAGAATGGCAAACGACTCCAAGACAAACAGGAGATCCTGCAACGATGGCAAGATCATTTCAATGAGATCTCCAACATTGAATTCCCACATCCACCAATTCCAGAAGGCACAGCAACCCATTGGCCCATTCCACTCATAACTGAGGAAGAAGTCAACAAAGCTGTGGACAGAATAAAGAACTTGAAGGCGCCTGGACCTACAATCTGCCCATGGATTTCTGGAAACTAAAGGACGTGCGAGACACAGGAATACCTTGGCTGACTGAGTTCTTCAATGCTGTAATGAACACTAGCCATGTACCAACTGATTGGTTAACTAGTTCTTTGAGAACAAGGGTGATTCAGCTGACTATGCCAACTATCACCTAATCTGCCTTCTGTCTCACACTGTGAAGATCTTTGACACAATCCTTGATCAACACATTTGCAGCATCACCCAACTCACCATCAACCAATGCGGCTTCATTAAAAGATGTGGAACAACTGATGCCATCTTTGCAGCCCGTCAGCTCATAGAGAAACACTGTGAGAAGAGACAACCACTACACATGGCATTCCTAGACCTGGAGAAGGCATTTGATTGTGTCTCACACCAACTGATCTGGTATGCCCTCCAGGATCATGCAGTACCTGAACCACTCATTGACTGGGTCAAAATGCTGTACAAGGACACCAGCAGCCAAGTGCGATGCCCAGCTGGCTTTTCCAACAGATTCCCAGTGATGGTTGGAGTACACCAAGGCTCTGCACTGTCACCATTTTTGTTTATACTGGTAATGGATACCATCACACATGATCTGCAGCAGAACACACCCTGGACTCTGCTCTATGCTGATGATGTTATGCTTGCTTCCACCACCAGAGGTGAACTACAGCAGCAAGTTCAAACATGGAATGATCACCTCAACCATTTTGGACTCCGCCTCAACATCAAGAAAACTGAATACTTAAGAGACTGTCACCACCCCTTGAATGCTTCAAATCAATGGAGAAAACCTAAAGAAGGTGGACATTTTTCGGTATCTGGGATCCCACCTCCAAGGCAATGGCAACATCAATGGGGAGGTGCAAGCAAGGGTGAATGAAGCCTGGATGCGTTAGTGAGAACTCATTTGTGTGTTATGTGACAGACGAATGCCAACCCGTCTTAAATCTAAAATTTACAAGACAACCATCTGCCCTGTTGCACTGTATGGCACTGAATGTTGGGCAGCAACAACAGGGACCGAAAGCTATCTTCATGCCATGGAAATGCAAATTCTCCGTTGGACATTGGGCATCTCCCTTCTTGACCACATCACAAATGACACCATTTGACAACATTTTGGTGTGGCACCAATTATAGAGAAGATGAGAGAAGGCTGGCTCCACTGGTACGGACATGTTCTGAAAGCAGCACCTTCCACTGTTACTAAGACTGCCAATCAACTAGAAGTCAATGGCCGACCACCTTGCAGGTGCCCAAAACAGAGATGGCAAAATACATCAACAAAGATATGCAAGCCGCGGGCCTGGGCCCTGGAGATGCAGGTGACTGTGCAAAGTGGTGTTCAATGATCTGAAAAGCGGACCCTGCACTAGGAGGAGGAGGAGGAGGAGGAGGAGGTGGTGGTGGTGGTGGTGGAGGAGGAGGAGGAGGAGGAGGAGGAGGAGGAGGAGGAGGAGGAGGAGGAGGAGGAAGAAGAAGAAGAAGAAGAGGAAGAAGGAAGAAGAAGAAGAAGAAGAAGAAAAGAAGAAGAAGAGGAGGAGGAGGAGGAGGAGGAGGAGGAGGAGGAGGAGATTATTAATGAGAGGTTAGAGCAATAATCTTTTTGCACCTTTTGCAGTAGTAATCTGATTGTTTAATTCGACCTCTCCATTTTAAAAGGGGCAATTAAATACAGGAGGGGTAGATATACCTGTATATATTGGGAAACCAGTGATGATCACTGAAGGTCTTCATACAAAGTCCTTATGCATGATTCACTTAATCAGAGTTTATTCAATCCAGATTTTTGGATTTGTACAATACATAAATACTCAAGAATTGGATTCATATAATATGGCAGTCCAAGTTGTGATTGACTAGTTTGTATTTTAGTGTCTTGTGCTGCTATGAGATACCAAAGACATGTAATTCATGTTCACAGAAACCAAATTACAATTAAATATTTTTAGTTCATTACAGCCTTGCAGTTCTGCTAAACTGTTGACTACCTCTGATCAAACTATCTTAACCCCCTCATGGAGCAGAACAATATTAATTCCCCCCCACCCCCAAGCTCCAAATAAATCACACCAGTGAATTTATCTATGATTTTACTTATGTTTAATTTTTATCCCCTCATTATTATTTTTTTATAAATAACTTAAGGCAATGGGCATATATACAGTAACAATCCCTCCTTCTAGTTTCCCCAACAACAATCTTGTGAAGGCTGGGCTGAGAGAATAACTACTCCAACGTCTCTTGGCTAGTCACTTGCCTGTCTAGGTGGCTCAGCTAAGACGCTGAGCCTATCGATCAGAAAGGTCAGCAGTTCAGCGGTTCAACTCACATGAGCAGTGGGTTGGACTAGATGACCTCCAAGGTCCCTTCCAACTCTTACTGTTACTGTTAGCTGGCTTTCATGCCTAAAGCAGGACTAACACTCACAGTCTGCTGGTTTCTACATCAGCACCTTCACCACTATACCAAATACGCTCAGTTACACTCTACAGGTGAAACTCGAAAAATTAGAATATCATACAAAAGTTCATTTATTTCAGTAATGCAACTTAAAAGGTGAAACTAATATATGAGATAGACTCATTACATGCAAAGCAAGATAGTTCAAGCCTTGATTTGTCATAATTTTGATGATTATGGCTTACAGCTCATGAAAACCCCAAATTCACAATCTCAGAAAATTAGAATATTGTGAAAAGGTTCAATATTCTAGGCTCAAAGTGTCCCACTCTAATCAGCTAATTAAGCCATAACACCTGCAAAGGGTTCCTGAGCCTTTAAATGGTCTCTCAGTCTGGTTCAGTAGGAATCACAATCATGGGAAAGACTCTGACCTGACAGTTGTGCAGAAAACCATTATTGACACCCTCCATAAGGAGGGAAAGCCTCAAAAGGTAATTGCAAAAGAAGTTGGATGTTCCCAAAGTACTGTATCAAAGCACATTAATAGAAAGTTATGTGGAAGGGAAAAGTGTGGAAGAAAAAGGTGCACAAGCACCAGGAATGACTGCAGCCTGGAGAGGATTGTCAGGAAAAGGCCATTCAAAAGTGTTGGGGACTTTCACAAGGAGTAGACTGAGGCTGGAGTCAGTGCATCAAGAGCCACCACACACAGACGGATCCTGGACATGGGCTTCAAATGTAGTATTCCTTTTGTCAAGCTGCTCCTGAACAACAAACAACGTCAGAAGCGTCTTACCTGGGCTAAAGAAAAAAAGAACTGGTCTGTTGCTCAGTGGTCCAAAATCCTCTTTTCTGATGAGAGCAATTTTTGCATCTCATTTGGAAACCAAGGACCCAGAGTCTGGAGGAAGAATGGAGAGGCACACACTGCAAGATGCTTGAAGTCCAGTGTGAAGTTTCCACAGTCTGTGTTGATTTGGGGAGCCATGTCATCTGCTGGTGTTGGTCCACTGTGCTTCATTAAGTCCAGGGTCAACGCAGCCATCTACCAGGAGATTTTGGAGCACTTCATGCTTCCTTCCACAGACAAGCTTTATGGGGATGCTGACTTCATTTTCCAGCAGGACTTGGCACCTGCCCACACTGCCAAAAGTACCAAAACCTGGTTCAATGACCATGGGATTACTGTGCTTGATTGGCCAGCAAACTTGCCTGACCTGAACCCCATAGAGAATCTATGGGGCATTGCCAAAAGAAAGATGAGAGACATGAGACCGAACAATGCAGAAGAGCTGAAGGCCGCTATTGAAGCATCCTGGTCTTCCATAAAACCTCAGCAGTGCCACAGGCTGATAGCATCCATGCCACGCCGCATTGAGGCAGTAATTGATGCAAAAGGGGCCCAAACCAAGTACTGAGTACATATGCATGCTTATACTTTTCAGAGGTCCGATATTGTTCTATGTACAATCCTTATTTTATTGATTTCATGTAATATTCTAATTTTCTGAGATTGTGAATTTGGGGTTTTCATGAGCTGTAAGCCATTATCACCGCCCTGAGTCCTATTTTGGAGAAGGGCGGTATAGAAATTTAAATAATAAATAAATAAATAAATCATCAAAAGTATGACAAATCAAGGCTTGAACTATCTCGCTTTGCATGTAATGGGTCTATCTCATATATTAGTTTCACCTTTTAAGTTGCATTACTGAAATAAATGAACTTTTGTACGATATTCTAATTTTTCGAGTTTCACCTGTATATTTGGAACCTCTAAAAGGTCAGTCACAAATCACCAAAGAAAGAAGCTATGCTTGGCAATGATAAAGGTACCAGCAGAAATGCTTGGGTGTGTCATGCAAAGTACATGCTACATGGGGTACTGGGCCAGGAAGGCTCACTTTCTCCAAGCTGCTTCTGCAGCATCTTCAACTCCTGCTGTGCCTCAGTCAGGGAGAAGGCTGGTGTTATGCAGCAGCCAAGCAGGGGCCTTGAGCATGAAGATCGGGGTCCCAAAGACATGCAGGAGGATGGTTCTGAGTCCAGTGAAGCTAAAAGCAAACCTGTTGGCTTGGACAAGGAGTCATCATAAAAGCCTAGAGATGGAAAAGAGAGGAGAAACAAAGAGAGTGCCAGGTTAAATTAGGATATGCTAATAGTATGTTATTCCCAAAAGATATAGATTGTTAAACAGAATAACTTTTCCCTTCCTCTTTTTTTTAACCTGATGGTAATTATGAATGCTGCTGAGCCAAAATTTGCTAAGAAGGCATTCTGAGCACTTCTTATTTCATAACAGATTGTTTAAGATAAAGCAAGAAGAAACAAAAGAAGCAGCTTCTCAGAGGTACTTACTAAGATACAGCTATTTCTATACACATCCATTCAGCAGGCAACATTGGGAAGGGTTTTATTTTTCTCTTTAAAATAATGGTGTGGTGATAGCAAGCTTTTTTTTTTTTAATTTGATTTATATGCCGCCCTTCTCCGAAGACTCAGGGCGGCTTACAATGTGCTCAGCAATAGCCTTCATCCTTTTGTATATTTTATACAAAGTCAGCTTATTGCCCCCACAACTGGGTCCTCAATTTACCTACCTTAGAAAGGATGGAAGGCTGAGTCAACCTTGAGCCTTGGCGAGATTCGAACCCTGCAGTAATTGCAGGCAGCTGGTCTTAATAACCAACTTAATAACAGGGTGCCTTAAACCCCTGTACTACCAAGGCTTTAGCACAGTTCCTGCAAGCCAGACTATTAGTGGAGCCCAGCAGTACTTCAAAAAATGAAATTGGCAGCAGTATGCCTGCAGGCAGCCCATTTACTGGCTAATTCAGCCTGTTGTTTAGCTTTGCCTTTTTTAAAGTGCTAAAAGTATCCAGGCAAACATTAAAGTGAAATAACTCTGAAAATGACACCGTTGTGAGAGTATAGTAAGCCACACAACGAAGCTCATCTCCCTCACAATAGCACTTGTGATGATATTATTTTATATTTTATATATTTTATACTGATCAGTGCCTTTGTTAGGAGGTTAAATAACTGGTCAGTTCATGCTAATGAACTATTTGTATCAGTCTGAATCTCAAATGAGGACCCTTTTCTGGGCTCAGAGCTATTCAAGATTAATGAATGAATGAGTTAATGAATTAATTAATGACCTGCATATACATGTAGAGAAGATATTTTTGCAGATGATACAAACTCTGAGGAGTAGCTAATTCTATGGAAAACAGGACAAAGTTTGAGTTATTTTTAGTGATTGAAATGAAGGGCCTCAGTCAGCAAGGTGAAATTTCAAGACATGTATCTAGTAGATATATTGTCTCTCCCCTCCTCCTCCCTCAAGGCACAGGAATACAAGTTTAATTTGTTATACCCATCTACTCTGGAAAATTCCCAACTCTAACAACAATAAAAACAATATAAAAAGTGTTAAAAGTGTTTAAGAACCATTTTTAAATGGTGACCAGCATCTTAGATTGCTTAAGGAAGTTGACTGGCGACAAATACAACTTGCATAGCAATGATGATGCATGAGCATCTTGAGAAAACCTGCTACCACTTGTGCTTGTCTTACAAGTTGAAGAAACATAGGGACTGACACTATAATGAACCCAAAACATTATCAAGTGATCACAAGTAGGTAGGCAAGAAAGTTAAGGAGCTAGGAGCACAAATGCTGTTTTCATCTGTACTTCCAATAAAAGGTCAACTTCCAATGAGGAAACAAAGGATTTTAGAAATAAACCACTGGTTTAAGAGTTGATGCCATCAAGTGAACTTTGGATTCCTAGACCACAATCTGGATTACCTACATGAAGGTCTTCTGGCAAGGGATGGGCTACACCTCACAAGAATTGGGAAGAATATAGTCAGAAAATGACTGGCTCTCAACTTATCAGAAAGGCTTTAACTAAAATTGAGGAGGGAGAGTGACCAATCCTTAGGATCTTTAGAACCTAATCCCAAGCATAAACCAATCAAATAATGAGGTAGGAAGTATTGGGAAGGTACAAAATCTTAGTATTTATTTATTTATTTATTTATTTATTTATTTATTTATTATTATTCATATTTCTATGCCGCCCACTCTCCGAGGACTCTGGGCAGCTTACACCAAGGACAGTATACTAAATAGCATATTGCCCCCAACAATCTGGGTCCTCATTTTACCCACCTCGGAAGGATGGAAGGCTTAGTCAACCTTGAGCCGGTGAGATTTGATCTGCTGAACTAGCAGTCAGCTGAAGTAGCTGCAGTACTGCACTCTAACCACTGCACCACCTTGGGTCTTGTAGGAGATATAGGAAACATACCCAGGGTCAAATGCCTATAAATAAAGGACTCAAATGCCTATACAGAAATGCTCATAGTTTGGGGAACAAACAAGACAAACTTGAAGTACTAGTACATAAAGACATGTAAGATATAGTTGCCATTACTGAAACTTGGTGGGATGAAACTCATGATTAGAATATCCTGATGGAATGATACAAACTGTTCAAAAGAAACAGGCCTAACAGAAGAGGAGCTGGAGTTGTATTATATGTAAGAGATCATTACAACTCTACAGAAATGCACAATACCAATAATGAAAGTCCCTAGAATGCATATGGGTCAATATAAAAGGAAAAATGAATGATAGATCAACTAACCAAACATAAGAAATAGACGAACTTTTTGCTAACCTATATATAGAAAGCACACCACAGCAGTAATGGGGAACTTTAACTATCCTGACATCAACTGGGAGACAAACTCTGCAGCAAATGGGAGATTGAACAGGTTCCTGACCAACCAAGCTAACAACTTTGTTATCCAAAAGATAGGGGAAACTAGAGGAACTGCTCCACTGGACCTAATACTTACTAACAGAGAAGAAAGGATAGAGGGGGTTGAAATTGCAGGAAACTTGGAGGACAGTGATCATGTCACTGTCAGATTAGAATGCAATATAATGCACCCAGAGTTCTAGACTTTAAAAGAGTTGACTTCAACAAACTTAGAGGGAACTTGGGAAGGACTTCATGGATGAGAATTTTAAAGGGAAAAACAACCCAAGAAGTTTGGGGAAGTCTAAATAATATGATTATAAAAGCCCAGTCCACCACAATATCACCGAAGAAGAAAACTAAGAAATCCAAGAAGAATATCAGCAGATAGCCTGAATTTGCAAAGATGAAATCAGGAAAGCAAAGGCTCAGAATGAACAAAGACTTGCAACGAATATCAATAATAATACTGAAGTTTCTTTCAACATAAAAAAACAAAAAAGTAAAACAATAACATCAATTGGTTCACTAATGGGAGAAGATGGCAAGGTAGTGACAGGCAGTAGAGCAGTGGTTCTCAACCTTCCTAATGCCGCGACCCTTTAATACAGTTCCTCATGTTGTGGTGACCCCCAACCAGGGGTGGGTTCTAAATTTTTTTACTACTGGTTCTGTGGGCGTGGCTTATTTTGTGGGCGTGGCTTGGAGGTCATGTGACTGGGTGGGCATGGCTAGCTGGTCATGTGACCGGGTGGCCATGGCTATGTGCATAGGGACTACTCAGAGGGCTGAAAAAAGTCATTTCTGACAGGTCCTCGCACTTTTGACTGGTCCTCACACTTATGACCATCCTCACATTTATGCCCATGCAGCATTCTTAACCATGTCACTCATTTCACAACTGCTTCTCTTCACCATGGTGACAAGATAGGGCAAAAACGTAAAACGTGAGGACAGTCGTAAGTTCGAGATCTGGTCAAAAGTGCGAGGACCAGTCAAAAATAACTTTTTCAGCCCTCTGAGTAGACCATGTGCACAAAAGGACTACCCAGAGGGTTGAAAAAAGTGATTTCTGACAGGTCCTCACACTTTTGACCGGTCTTCGCACTTATGACTGGTCATCATTTATGCCCATTGTAGCATTCTTAACAACCATGTCACTCATTTCACAACTGCTTCTCTTCACCATGGTGACAAGATAGGGCAAAAACGTAAAATGTGAGGACAGTCGTAAGTTCGAGGACTGTTCAAAAGTGCGAGGACCAGTCAGAAATAACTTTTTCAGCCCTCTGAGTAGTCCATATGCATAAAAGGATACAGCAATAGAGAGGGATGAAGGAAGGGAAGGGAAATTAGAGTAGGAGTGAGGGTAAGAGAGGGAGGAAGAGAGGAGGAGAAGGAGAAAGGAAGAGGAAGTAGGGAGGAGAAGAAGAGGGGGAGGAAGAGAAAGTAAGAAGGAAAGAAAGAGAGGTGGTAGGTTTGAGGCGAAAGATTGCTGTACAATAAAAAAGATGAAAGGGAAGAAAGCCAACCCCAAAGAAATATAAAGATATTAAGATAAAGAATGAATTGTTAAACTTTAAAGAATAAAAGAGAACAAATATGAATAAATAACAATAATTAGAAACACACATACAAACATACAATGTATTTTCTTTGAACAGAGTATTTGGCCGGTTCACAAATTTAAACAGTGTTTAGTCATTTCAATTAAATTTACAATTTCTATATTTCCTTTTTGCCATATTTATTCCTCATCTATTTTTGTAAAAAACCAATATTACCCTTCATCCTCATCTCTAATCTTAATCAAATTCAATTTTTCCCTTCTATTCTATATTATACCCCTTCCCATTGTCATCTATTTTTATATCCATCCTCACTTTGGTTAATTATGTAATATTACAGTTGTTTAATATAAATTCAACATTTTAATATAAATCAATTAGTTATATAACTACCTTTTTTGTATATTAATTAATATGAACATGAATATTCCAATTATTTCCATGCAATCCAATTTCTTACAAATCAATTAATTATATTTACCAATAATAATAAACCAAATAATTTTCCCCATATATTCCTCCAAACCACAACTTAACCATTTCTGCTTTCAACGCAATATACAATTAATAGTATCTCAATTATTACAATTCCCTAGTTAAATAGAGCTTTTTTTTCTTTTGTGTTTCAAAATCTTGAACTCTCCTCTTTTGCCCTAAATTTCCCATTGTTTGCACCTACCTTTTTTGGTGAGGAAAAAGAAAAGAAATCTGCCTGCCTAATTTTCCAACCTTGCAGCAACAGCAAAGCAGTTTCAG